TGATGTATAAATCTCAATTTCGAAAAATTGACACTTATGACTGGTTTTGTGGTCCATGGTCACAAATGCTGTTGTTTAATCTTAACTTGTACTAAACCTGGAATATTAAAGGATTTATACATTTCACATCATTATCACAGTTTATCAAATAAAGAACAACTAACTTGTATGACCGGTTCACTAATTTCAGGGCTTCTTCATACTGGTCCTTGGGACACTGATGGAAAAGAAGGTAAGAGCTGAGTTTTCTGCTTTATGAACTGTGCTTAACATTCCTTTCTAAGTATTTGGTGACTGAGATGATTGTTTTTTTTTTTCTTCTCCTAACAGGTTCGGGAGGCACTTAAAAGAAGATTGAGAATCACTAGAGGCACTGGATCTCATGCCACACATGTAAACACATTTTCCTAGTTTATTATTCTCAGGTTTTTCATGCAAAAACATTTTTTATAAAACACATTGGCATCTTTCCTATCATAGACTTCAAGCTCTGGTGCCCATTCCTATGGCAGAAGCAGTTCTTCCAACAGAACGACTCTTACAGATGTTTTCAACACTCTTTTGAGAAGAGTGAGGCGTAAGTACAGTGCTGCACTGTATCTTGATTTCTATTGCCTGAACTTTCAATGTAACATTCTTATGTTTTACAGATGCTGGGGCAAATTCCTCACACAACTCTGGAGCATCAGAAAGTTTTCTAAACGCTTAGCAGGACAGACAGGCGCTTTAATTTCCTGTCAGTACGTCTTTGTAATGCTGGGTCCAGTGCCACAGGCACAACTTCATATTGAAAAAGTTTGATTTCTGTCTTTCCATATGCCTATATTGACTATAACTTGAATATTCAGTACTTTCTTCCTGTTTTCTATTAGTGGTCCAGATTGACCAATTTACAATAAAACATCTGTTTGTACCAAATTAAACTTTTTATGTGTACACTGTTTTATGAAAACAGAAATTACATTCTGGTTTCTGTTTGAACACTGTTTAGTGTACCAACACGTTTGTCCTTTCTCTATTAAAATTCATAAATGAAAAACACATGTTTTTAATTGCCATTATTAGGGGTGCTTGCTATCTATCTTTTGAAAATCGTTCTTTTCAGAATACAGAAAAACATTTATTCTACATATTGAAATTTTTTATTAAAATAATACGATCTGCTTTTCATTTTTCAAGCAACTTACAACATGAAACCCTGCAATACATTTACAGTTATTGAGTTTAATAATGCTTGAGCTGAGATCATAAAGATCATAATGCAGCAATGTGACAGTAATTTCAAACAAAATACATTTTCACTGTTTATTTATTTTTTTATTTTAGGTGCAAATTTTATACAAATTTGTCAATAAATAAATATCTGATACAAGTACATTCGCAGTTTAGTTTTTATATTTAGTATTATCATGTTTATAGCTGTGCAATAAATACCTATGTGCACTTACATAATACATTCATAACGGAGGCAGCCTAGGAAATTTGCTTATAGATAAACAAAAATGCATGCAATCTACATGCAGTTTTTTAAATGTTAGTAAATGATTTTTACATTACAGTGCCCAAGTTATAGTATAACTTGTAATTAATGTAAAATAATTGTGTTGAACAACCTGCATTTTCCCATTGTGACAGCTATTGTAATACATTACATTGATTAATGTGTCCTTTGTGGAACATGGAGATTTGCAAAGTTTCACCAAGTGTTTCTTTGCCATTTTCCATCCGTCCTCTAGAGGGTGTAGTGTCTCTACTCCACAGTCTGGCCTGTCTCGCTGGTAGAATCGGTCTTGATATTTTGTCCTCCTTCTTGTCTTAGGCCTAAAAGCACTTTATTTAAGAGCATGAATTATATCTGGTCCAATAAATTAAACAGAGTTTTCAGAGCCATAGTTCTTGTAGGGTGGTGATGACTTCCGACACCTGTGAAGTATAAACCAGAAAATATTTAAACGTTTAATGAATGCTTCCATTGTCATTGATTTACAAATATTGCCTGATAATATTACATTTAAAGTTTAAGGAAGTAAATAACAATTTAAAATAAAGAAATACATTTAAAAAATAATCAATAAACAAAGCAGTTGCTACTTTAATAATAAAAGGCTAAACGCTGTATTCAGGATTTTACCTTTTCTTTAAACAGCAGTACATCAGTCCGACGATGATTCCCAGTAATAAAACTACACCACAGCTAATTCCAATGACTTCTTCAGGACTAGACAATTGTTGGGTGTCCAAAATAACATGTTCACAGCGCACACCGCTGTACATTTTGTCACACCTAAAGACAGCAGAAATCACATTTGTTAGGAAGGTCTTGGAATCCATCGTTTTCAACAGTTAAACACCCTATGAAATGGCCTGTTGACTACAGTTATTTTTCCACATGTCGATTCCTTGTGAAACAGGAAATTTGGGTGGGATATTTGTAAGAGATCATCCTATTTTATAAACATCCACAAGGCTTTATTCACAACCCAAGCTTTGCAACTTGCTAGTTTGCGAAACAAACCAACATGAACTAGATAATCAAGACTTGATCAGTGTCAATTGATTGATGAGGTTTAAAATGTAGGATTATTGAGTAGATGAGTTGTTTTTGGTGGCTGCTCTCACCGACAGATAGGGGTTTCCAGGTCGGAGGAGTAGGAACATACGCCATTGACACAGAATCCCTCGTGTTCTGGACCGCAGGGCCTTTGAATAGCCAAAACTCGCGGTTCCTCTCCACTTCCTGCTGATAGACACCCACACACACCCAGACAGTTAAGCATGGATAGGCATTCAGACTTGTGTCCACATGCCAAAGAACCTGCATTCTTAGCAGTGCATATTTGAAATTACATGTTTGCTCATTTCATATAAAACAAAGGGTCACACTTTATTTCAGTAGCTAGTCCACTTTAGCCATCATACTAACTATAAGTAACTTAGCATCTACATGTCAACAAACTATAATTAGAGTATATATACAGAGAGAGAGAGCGATAATAAATTATATTAAAATAAAAAACTGTTCTTTTAATAGTTTTACTGTAATTTTTGATCAAATAAATGCAGCCTGGTAAGAGACATTTTTAAAAAACAATAAGTTGCAGTCTTTCAAAATAATAATATATAATAATTTTGAAGTACTTACCGTTACTGTGTGTTGTGTTGTATAGGATCGCATCCTCTGACTTCTCTTTAGTGTCTCCAAGTCCAGAGAAGACGGCTAACACTACCATCAATCCAATTACTGATAGAGTTTTAAGAATATATTTTAGTAACTATACTTCGTCTTTAAAGTATTAGACAGTCATTTGGTTGTAAGCTCATTATCTATTTTGTGTTATGAAAAGTATTATAACTCACCCTGATAGTGCAAACACCTTTTATCCACTTGCTGTGTCATGCTGTGGCCCAAATACAGGTTCAGTTCTGACTGGATATTCTGGGTTTGTCCGGTTTTCTTCAAACTTCGGCTGCTCTCCAAATGAAAGTGGTTTTTCCCCACAATTTATACCATCCTTCTATATCCTTTTCTGCGTCACTAATGGTAGCCAATCATTTTAACTAGTGACAGGAACTGCAGTGATTCCAGAGTCTTTTACCCATACCTGTACAATGCTCCGCATCACTTCCTGGTCCACAGGCAAGCAGCGTGCACAGGCGTGTTTTGCCCCACATTTTTTTTTTTCAGTGACCAAAGTATTTGCCTGCAGCTGCAAAAACAGGCTTTTGACATAGTTATTGGCACAAGTGATATTAAAGAAAAGTCTAATTACAGACACAAAGTATTATTTTAATTGTTAAATTTTATGTTTTACTGACACTCATGTCCCATTACATTCCTGTCACATAATGAAAGCAAGAAGTATTCCCGAAAAAAAAAAAAAAGCATCCTATTTTGAATGCTTTGCACATTTTTACACATTTTATTCTTTTTTGGGTAGTCACTCTTGTGTTTTTTATTAATTACAATAAAAAAAATAACCTTTCTCACGTACTAAACTCTGCAGTCTATATATCATTTACCTGTAACTTGTAACCAGCAATTTGACATCATATTTAGCTGTTGGACACAGTGTAGATATAATCTAATTGCCAAAAAAATGAGAATCAGTTATTTCATATTTTTAAGCGTTTATGGGGGAAGACATAATTTTAGCAATGAAATATTTTAATGATTTTGAAAGATCAATTCGGAACATTCATCTCAACAGCAAATTGGATATGTCAAGTATATCACATAATAAGCAATAATCTTAAATTATTGGCACTGTCAATGATCTAACTGATTTCCCAACTTCTAATTTAGTTTTTTTTTTTTTAATGAGTGCTGTCAAACGATTAATCGCATCCAAAATAACAGTTTTTGTTTACATAATATATTGTGTACTGTGTATATTTATTATGTATATATATATATATATATATATATATATATATAAAGACACACATACAGTATATGTTTTGAAAATATTTACATGTATATATTTATATTCATATAATTTATATTATATATAAATATATTTAATATATAAACAGCACATTTTTCTGAAATATATACATGCACATATTATGTAAACAAAAACTTATTTTGGACACGATTAATCGCAATTAATCTTTTGACAGAACTATTAAAAATCTATCTATCAGATGGGGGTTTGATGTTGGATCAATGACATTTGGTACATTATCCATCACATTGTTTAAAAAAAAAATAAAATAAAATAAAACATTTTACACATTAAAGGCAAAAATTTAAAATCTGTCATCATTTACTCACTCTCATATCGTTGTAAAGTTACTTTTCTCTGTGGAACACAAAATAAGATATTTTTAAGGATGTTGGCTACCAAAACATTGTGGTTATTGACTTCCATTGTATTTCACAAAATGTCTTGTTTTCTGCTTCACAGGAGGAAGTCATACAGGTTTGGAACGACTTGAGGGTGCGAGTGAATGATGACAGTGTTGGTTTTTGAGTAAACTATGCCTTTAAATCTTCCATGAGCAGGTTCATTAATGAAGACTCTTTCATTCACAGCTTCTTCTTGTAAACCACCAATATTTAAGAACAGCAAGAATCAAATACCTTTTTAAAGAATCACAGACTGAAATAGGTATATTGATTTCTGAAGTGAAATCTTTAGCAACACAAGAGCCTTAAAAGGGATAGTTTACCAAAAATGAAAGTTCTGTCATCATTTATTCCCTCTCATGTAATGCAAAAGATGTTAGTCAGAATATCTGAGCTGATCTCTTTCATACAATAATAGCGAGTGGTGACCAAAAATGACAAAAAGCACAGTAAAAGTAGTCCATTCGACTCCTGCCATATCTCTCAAATCTCATTCAGATTCGCATATACAGTGGGTACGGAAAGTATTCAGACCCCCTTCAATTTTTCACTCATTGTTATATTGCAGCCATTTGCTAAAATCATTTAAGTTAATTTTTTTTCCTCATTAATATACACACAGCACCCCATATTGACAGTGCCAAGACATGTCACGCCACGTTTGATGTCAATGGTGCCAAACGTCATGGTTTTTGCTTGCTATTCTTGAGTTTTACACAGGAAGGGATGATTTTCATTGAATATTGACTTAAAATTCTGGTCTGTTCCTCATTCAGAGATATTATTATATTTTAAAACTTCAGAAGCATGCAAGTAGCACAAATTACTCTGACTTCACTTTCAAGTCATTTTTATATTTTTATATATATATTTTATATATATATATATATATTTATTTATTTTTTTTTATTTTTTTATTTTTTATAGCGCAAAATATGTCCACGAAATGTCTCAGGGAATCATCGGATATATTGAAATGTATATTTTTTTATTGGCAGTTTGAATGTAAAGGACCCAAAATGCCAAAAAAAACAGTGTTTAATGTCAAGAACATGCCATAAATCACACTAATAAATAAAGCAGAAAAATAATATGAAATACTTCATGGGGCTAAAAATCATAAATACAAGCGATTTATACCAAAACTAGGATTTTTTTAAACAAAAACACATTTATGTATAATAAACAATGCATAAATAATACCTTACATAGGTAGATGAATAAATAAATATTAAATACAGCAGCATCCTTGTGTTATTTTTTGCCATTTTGTTTTTTTTTAATTCAAACAACACTTTTAAAATGATTTCCTGAGAAAATGTGTTAATGTCCTGTTTGTCTCGGTGTCAACAGATTCATCTGTCAGATATCTGAGAACCGTCTATTACGCTGCCATGAGGTCACCTGTTGAGCAGCCAGTCAAGTCGTACCGAAACTCTCAGTGAGGATGATGCAACTGAGACTTCCGGCTTCACCCATGCATTGTCAGGGAGGTAATGTTACACTTGCACAGTAAACCCTCCTTATTTTCTCGGCTCCGACAAAATAATAATACTGTAGCAGCTACTTAGAATCAGTGAGGAGGCATCTCTCTAATTTTGAAGAAAAGAATTAGGGTGTAGTTAACGTCATAGCCATGCATGGCTGCCGTGCCAGCTAGAACAGCCTGTTACAGCTTGCCGACGGGCAGGGAAGGATGTTGTAGAGGAAGCTTGCAGGGGCTTGCGTTTATAATCAAGATACGGACAAATAGTGCCAATTAAAGTATCCAGACTGAAGTGCTTGTATCTTGTCCACCCATAATGGCAGGTTTTGTGTTTGTTCAGTATGTTGGAGCATTTTTGGCAGCAGTGACTGTGTTTTTCATTACCATGGCGATGGTCATTGGGCCGACTCCTCCAGGCACAGGAGTGATGAATCCAGCCTTCTCCTTCACAGCTGATTGGGGAGACAAAAACAAACCATTTCTTAAATAACACTAAGAGCTCTGCCTAAGCCAAGTATTTCTTTTATACTTCCAAGAGAAAATAAATCAAACTATAAATCGTGTTGCTAAGTGACTTCCAGGCAACCAACCAACACACAATGAGCCAAACAGAGCCCTAGAGGGATTGAGACACGATATCAGATACACTGACTTGACGCACGTGCAGAATTATTATAACAGATCACTCAAAAATGAATGAAATTCTGTCATTGCAAACCCATATTATTTATCTTCCTTCTCAAGTCAGATTGAATTATAAATCATTATTCACTGAAAACCTTGTACAATTTTTTTTTTTCCATATCGGCTCTTTTAAATGAATCAGATGACTCTCTTCACAAAACCAAACCAAATGATTAATTTAAAGGTCCCCTGAAATGCTTAGAAACACACAGCATTACTCTATGTGTTGACGTCATTTTAACTGAAACAGGAAGACAGGGCGGGACATATCAAGCAGCCCCGCCCCTTTTTAAAATAGCCAATAGCGTTCGTTTATATCACAGCTTGGGCTAGAGCCGTTCAGAGCCGTTGAGCTCCGTAAAGCCGCATTTGACAGGATATGCCAGCCAAAACTTTAATTTTGATTTCATGGGAACTTTAAGAATTGCATTGATTCAGTTTTCAAGTTAAACTCACTGACTTAAAAGCTCAGTGGAGGGACAAATTGTTGGTGAATAACACAAAGCTGACTTCAGCAGACTTGTAAAACACCGCACACATTGTATGAACCACTTTTATTGATGATTTTAGTACTTTTATGGTGATTTTGCATCCTTTTTGAAGCTTGAAGCTCATTACCTTGGAATGATTTAAGGGTGAGTAAATAATTTCCATTTTTGGATGAACCATATTGGTGTTGTTATTGTTTACTAAAACCTAAAACTATTAAAAATTAATGTTGTTTTATTTAAAATAATGCTGAATTCAAATATAAATATGAGATGAAAAAAACCTACCTTAAAAAAACATGAAAAAAAGAGAAATGCGGAAGTTGAACTACTAAGTTACGAAGTCAAAATAAATAAAAATGACAAAAGAACACGACAAAATTACTAAAACAAAAATTTAATTGAAAACTGAAAATATAAAAATACAAGCTAATTCAAAATATTTATAAATAGTATTTAGTACTAAATTAGTATTAGTTTAATACTAAATTAGTATTAGTATTAAAATAATACTAAAGCAACACTAAACTAAAAGATTCTGAAACGAGTACCATAAGAACACTAAAGCAGTCGTGTGTCATTTACCTTCAAAATCCACATCTCCAACAAGACGAAGTTTACCAGTGATGGGGTCCTGCATGCGGTTGATGCCGATATCAATAACTGCAGCTCCCTCTTTTACCATATCTGCCGTTATTAAGTGAGGTACACCTGTTGTTACAGATTAAAACCAACCGTTCACAAAGACACATTCTCTATCTTATTCAATTAATATTTATATACACTGTAGACCAGTGGTTCCCAAACCTGTCCTGGAGTACCCCCAGCCCTGCACATTTTGTATGTCTCCCTCATCTATCACACCTGATTCAGCTGATCAGCTCATTAGTGGAGACTGCAAGACCTGAAGTGGGTGTGTCAGATATAGGGAGACATACAAAATGTGCAGTGCTGGGGGTACTTCATGGAGAGGTTTGAGAACCACTGCTGTAGACTAAAATGTTAGAATGACAGAACACAAGTTCGAATAAAATACAGATAATGTTCAAACTCATTCAAACTTAATTTGTTTGGTATTTCCGCAAAAATAAGTGCAGATCTGGATTAATATGTTGCATAGCCAAAGTCTAAGTAAAAAGTAATTATTACAAAATGAACATGGCTTACTGTACATCATCCCACTTACTGCATGGATACTTACCAAATAAGTAAATACATGGACGTAATAAATTCATAAATTATACAGTTTAGCAGTCATTACAC